GCCTCAGGCCTCTGAGAGTGCGCAAGCTTTGGGGGGAATGAAGAGCTCACGCAGAGCACGTCCAGTGTAATGGTGACCTTCCCGCCACGGCCAGAACAGTAAAGAAGGCCAAGCAGGTGCACAGGTCCAGCTTGGGCTCAAAAGCTGATTCTTACCAACATTCGTTGTAGTGTGTGTGAAGGGGCTTTCCACGTGCTCGGAAGTCTGCATGAAAATGCCTGGCAATTGCAATGCCGCCAAAAAACGATCATGCCTTCGCCGTCGCAGCTTCAGATTGCAAGCCATGGCTGGCAGCCATTAAGCTCATGCAAGCTTTCTAGCGATTTCTGGATGGATGCGTGCTCTAAGCTGTCATCTACCAAGATCTACCACGTAGCGGGTATGGCAAAGGCACGGAGGCATGTTGGTTGGAGACGGAGATGTGTTCCGTACCCTGCACGCTCATGTCCTGGGACTCAAGCTCTCCAGTCGGACCTTGATGTTGGCTTATGCACTATCAATACAAACTCCAAGATGGCCATGGCATCAACCCCCTGCGTCGCCTTTGCCACTCCTCATGCGCGTGCCTGAAGTGAGGCATTTGCGGTATCGAAAAAAGGTGCATCTTGGTGCAATCCTTTGTGGCTCTTTCTGCAGCGGCAAGCAGCTGACATGCACTGAATCCCAGCACCAACCCTGTAAAGACAACTGAGCCTTTAAAGGCTATGTGGCAAAGACAGAGAGACATGGCAGATGCGGGCCTCTGTCAGTTCATTGTTGTTGCAGCCTTGCAGGTCCTTTGCGCCAGCACGGCCAGAACTGCGTGCATGTGCTGTCCCAGCTGTCCAAGCACACACTATGCGCTGTGGTGGCAAAGACTGGCCGATCTTGCAGATGTATGCCTGTGCCATGTGCGGCAGTGCTGCGCAAAGCATGGCCGTATGCAGTTGCCAGCAGTTCAGGCAGCCATCGACCACGGTGACCATGATGTCAGCTGGGGGAAGCGCTTGTGGATGCTACGGGAGGCTAGTTGATCGTTCCATCTTCTGCAACATCAGGCAAAGCTTTTTCCCCGTTTCCAGGACGCCCCTTGCCAAAAGCCTTCGATGTGCTCCAAACCGAAGTGATAGAAAGTCCTCCTGCAAGGAAGATGCTTCACCGTTATCCCCACGCCAGTCATCTTGGAAGCTGCAGATGCACTGAAGGCACCCCACCGCCCACCAAAGCTGCTCATTTTTTCGGCACCGACAAGTGTGGCTTCTAGCTCTGGAATTACCATGCCATCCACATCCCAGTTTGTCTGTGTTCTCTCTGCAGATGCGCCCAAGCTCAGGATGTTGAGGTTGCTAGGCACTTCAGCGGAGGATGGCCAGGTTGTGCTACCAGCCGTCTTTGCAGTCCAGCACGCCCGGTATCCCAACAGAAGCTCTCCAAGCAAGCTGCAGTCCAGCAGACGCCCTGAACCCGCATGGCTTGTGCGGACACGGCAAGCTTTCAGGATGCGCCCGCATCCCATTTTGCCGTTGTCCATCTTGCCCATGTGCCGAAGCTTGAGGTGCAAGTTGCTGGCTACTCCAGCGAAGGGCTTGCAGGTCCAACACGAGCCAGCTACCCAAGCCAAGCTTCTGCTGTCCAGGTGCATGGCAGTCCGACTATCACGAGCCGGGGTGCATGTTGTGTTATTGGTCGAGGTTTCCAAAGGCATAAGCCAATGCTAGGCTGCTAGGCCGATAGGCGTCACTCACCCTTCGTTTCCCTTTACTCAAATGCGCTAACCTGCAGTTGACACCTTGCATCTGCCATTGTGGCCTGTGCCAAGGCAGCTGAATGATGCTAAACCAAGATGAACTCCAAACTGGCAGCGGCTGCTATGGCGGATCGCACCCCTGCAGTGCTTTTGTGCTCTTATACAGACACGTTGCTTGCTTATGCGTTTTCACGGTGTTGAGCTGGGACAACATTGCAACCAGTTAGTAAAAATCTCGGATTTCTACATGATCTTCATGCCACGCACACAGATGCACTGACTCCTCTTTTGGCAGCTCGCCCTGACTGGCAGGCCATCCGCCAACTACATCAGCTATAGACTAAATTCCTCAAAGGGGATGATATCGCATGTCAGGGGGATATAAGGAGTTCAGACCATAGCTCACATCATCCGACTTTGCTGTTATCCTCTCTGCCCATGCGCCGATGCTCAGGCTGCTGAGGTAGACACTTCGGCGGAGGATTGCCAGGTCGTTTTGCCAGGCGTAAGGTTGCGCCAAGCATGCTGCAGTCCAGCAATCGCCTCCGTGTCATGACGTCAGGTTTCAGTTCACGAAGGTTTTTTGAAGGTTTTTGAGACATGGCTTCACAGAAGGCTGCCTTGCAAAATGGCCGCCAAAGACGTCGCGTTTTATAGGTCGGCCTTTCAGGGCGGACTGCCAACCTGGATGAGATTGTAGCGGTAACCAAGGCAGTGGCGGCGAGACCAATCGATCCCAACTGTTGCAAAGCCACATGACATGTTTTTGCACCTCGTCCTGGCTTCTTGCCCACTCGCCCTTGTTCGCCCTTTCTTCAGATTCGTTCACATGCAGTTGACCCCTTGCCTCTGGCCATAAAGGTCTGAGTGAAGATAGCTGCAGGTACTTGTAAACACCATGAACTACGAAGCCTCCACTGCAGCTACGGCATCTACGGCAGATCAGATCCCTGCCGCACTTTTGTACCATCGTACATCCGCAGACATGTTGCTTATGTCAGGTGCTGCCGCAGTGGCTCCAAACCGCGCCACGTCTTTGGGGCATTTCCGGCTTCACATGTTCATTGGCTCTGTCTGGGGACAGCTTTGGATCCAGCCGCAGATTATTTTGCTACATCTGGGGCAGGGATGAGGCGAGACCGCGGGGCCATCGACATCCTCGACATGAGCACACACCGTCAGGCCAGGTAGATATATCTATGCTGGGATGGTGAGGCGGCATTCGAAGGTTCAGATGAAGGCTCCGCAACATCTCACAACGAGTTTTTCGGCAGTGACATCAGGGGGGGACAATGCCCAGATCTGTCTTGTCAAGGCCTGCTGCAAAACATCAATGCTTGCAAGGGTCCTCGGGCGACTCAGGCGTTCTGCAAAGTGTTGTGAGGTGAGGGCGGGCGCGTGGACTGCCGGGCGGCAAGACTGATCTGAAAATTACCCACGGACTCTACAGTGAACATGACTGACATTTTGGCGTTTCGGGCTTAGTTCCCTTGACAACACCATAAAAGGAGGCATCTAGGGGACCCTAGTTAAGCGGATCTGACATGACTCGAAACGGACTCTGCGGATTTCAGGACTTTCCGAGATTAACTGACCACAAGTTCTCATACTTTGACGAACGGGCTCCCGTCAAGCGTTGTGGTGAGGGGTGCTCGTTTCATGTTCGGTTAGAAGGAAGCTTTGAACGGTCATCAATCTACTTGTTTGACAGAGAGTTTAGAGAGTTTTCCGTAGCAGTGTCGGTGAGTGCATATCTACCTAACTGATGGACCACACTAACATCACGACCTTCTGAGAGAAATGATGAGCACGAGGGTTTGCCCCCACGACTCCTGGAAAAGCATATTGATTGGGTTAAATATCTATAAATAAATAAATAAATATATATATATATATATTTATATTTGGTGTATATTGGAGTAGTGGAAAAGAAAATGGAAACTACTAGATCCTTTTTGGGGTATATATATACACACATACACATCTATATACATGTATACAGTACTTCCAGCAGCAGGAGGCGCACCTTTTTAGCGCACTTTGTGAAAGGCTGCTTGCATAGATTGAATCGTTAGGTCTCACTCTGTTAGGCTACCGATGCTAGTAATATCGCCTTCTTTGAAATTCCTTGCTTCTCACTCCGTACCCTTTCTACCCAGACTTTTGAAATTTAGCACCTCCATATGAGTGCGGAGGCGCTGCTAATTTGCATCGAAAGAGAGTCGTAACAAATGCTTTGGCATGACTTTTGACAAGCACCTCTCTAAACATGAAAAACATTTCTTGGAGTATCAACCGTTTCTCGTGCTCGTGTACCTCCGATGTACTAGGAGCATTTAGGAGCTTAATGCTGAAGTCAGCCTGGACTGGAGTTACAGGTCACTGCTGATGCGCGTTTTGAGCAAAAGACCCGGCTCAAGATAACAGCCAGACGCCGATGATGAAGAGGTTGGCCTTGGCCGTTCTTCCCTGGTTCGTGCAATGCTTCTTGATCCTGTACCTGCTTCGGATTGAGGTGGCAAATTCTGAGGTTTCGGAGAGGCAACTCAAACAGACGGTTGCGACAAATCGTGTGAACACCATAAGTTCGAGCGAGCTATCTGTGCCAAACGTTTTCGAAGGATTTCACTGCCCTGGTCACTGGACAGCACTGGTAACAACCCATGTGACGCTAGGCATTCTTCTAAGCCTCAGCTTCTACGTGACGCTAGCATGTACGGTTTGGCTGGGCATGTACTTATATTTTCCACCGCGCCGGCTTGAGCACCGCAGGGACATCTGGTGTGTAACGTGGATTTTGCCAATGTTTCTTGCAGTGCTTTTGGGCTTGCTCATCTCCGGGCTGGTGGCCAAGCACTTACGCGGAAGACTGCAAGTGTCATTGCCTAATCACTGGTGGCAAGTGACGCGCTGCCGCGTATCTTGGCTAACTCAGCCCCAAGCCGTGCTCCCCATGGGCTGCGGTGAGAATCTAAGCCTTGCCACACAGCGCCAACGGTTAGAGTACTACCTGTCCTTCGTCGTGCTCTTGATGTTGGCTGCGACTTTCATTGGCTTCTGCCTTACCAGTGTCAGGGCTATCCTGCGAGTGCTGTGTGAGGTCTGCAGTAGTGTCGCCCGTCGTACAGAGTCCAGAGCCATTTACGATCCGCTGGAACCCAACACAAACACAAGCGAAGCTGAAGCTCCAGAAGCGCCGAGGGCCACGGACATGCCAGTAACCCTTTGCGTGTTAACGTTTCATGCGCTCTTCGCTGGGCTTTCATTGTGGTCGATGGCAACAGGTCACTTAAACGTGCAACATGGTCTCTGCTGGGAGCTTTGGCTAGCATGGGTGGCGGTTATGCTCTCCATTTCGCTGATTCAAGCATTCTACTTCACAGTTTGCCTGCCTGCAGAAGCCCGTCTGCCTGGATGGGGATTGGCCATCGTCATGCCTGTCCTGCCAGTTCTGGGCGAGCCACTGGACATCTTCAAAGACTGGCTGTTCATTGGTTTAGCATTATCGCAGAGGATGGGCTTTGTTCGTGTAGCATGCTCGATAGGAGTTCTAGCTGTCTATAACAGATTAGGGTCTTGTAAGTTTGAAAGTTGTGGTATGTCAAAGCCCGCAGGACCTGGCCCAGTGTCATGATGGCTGGCACAGGTGTTGGCATCCTCATCGCCTCAAACGTCTACATGCTACGATACCATCCAAAAGAGCTGGCTGCAGGTCTGCTTCCTGTCCGAGCTGTGGGGCTGATTGCATGGTCTGGGCGCCCACCAGAAAATCTGATGATGAAGCAGACCTCCCCCGCGAAGCTGGCAGTGGCCATCACAGAGGACCTGCCTCAGGCAGGCCTTCAGTCACTCTTTGTGCTAGTCTATGGAGGTTCCCCGATTCAACACTTCTTTATCATCGTCTCTGTGCTGAAGGCTTTGGCATGCCTGGTCTTGCGGGCGACCATCATGCAGAACGAAGGCCGCTTCGGGGATGCCTACGAGGCGCTAGTGGTTTACTACCGTTTGACGTGGACGCTTGCGAGAACAGTCTTGGGTGAGAACAGCACGTTTGCCTTGGAGGCTAGGCACAACTTGGGGAAGTCGCTTAGCGACCTCGGCCGCCATGCGGAGGCCCTGGACGTGTTCAGGGATGTGCTGGCCGCAAAGGAACAGGCCTTGGGGCTTATGCACCCATCCACTTTGCAAACCCAAGACAACATCGCAGTTCAGATGAGCGAGCTCGGCCAGAATGTTGAAGCTCTGGCTGCGTGGACAGAGCTGCTAGCTGCTCAACAGCAGGCCCTGGGGCCCACTCATCCTGACACGTTGAGGAGCAAGGGCAACTTTGCAAAGTCGCTGAGACATGTTGGCCAGCACAGCGATGCGGTGGATGTCTTTCGAGAGGCGAGAGTTTTCCGAGTAATTTATGTCCCAATTGACCTGTATCCCAGGTTCCATATTTATGAAGATGTGCTTTTTCTCGGATACGCATATGGGTTGGGACAGTTTCGAGTTCAGGGTCTGGGGTCGCGGTCGCGGTTTTCATTTTTTGGATCCTTGGACCCCCTTCGTCAGCACAATGGAGGATGCCAGCAGCAGATTACGGGTTTGGGCCACATGCGGAACGTAATCCACTGTGGACTCGACCTAATGTAAATCTTTGGTCACGTTGGAGGATTAGTTTTCATAGGAAAACCAAACCATTCTAATACATCCTCAAGAGTGCGATTCATCATCCTCATTTCTTGTTGTACATTCAAGAGTTTCTGAGAATCGTTCTTGACAAACTCCTGGTTGTGGCCTTCACCCTGCACATCTATCAATGTCATATCGACTTACCTCCTTGAAAGGAAGCCGGCTTTTGAGAATGTCCAAGGTACTGGCTGCTCAGCAGCAGGCCCTGGGGCATAATCACCCTGACACCTTAGCCACTCAAAAGGGCCTGGCAGTTTCGTTGCAGAAGCTCGCCTTCCACGCCGAAGCTTTGGATGTCTTCAGGGAGGTGCTGGCTGCAAAGCAGCATGCCCTTGGGCCCACTCACCCAGACACACTGAGAGTTCAGGCGAGCGTTGCCATCTCCTTGCGGAAGAATGGCCGCCTTTCCGAAGCTCTGGATGTGCAGAGGGAGGTCTTGTCTACACAGCAACAATGCCTTGGACCTACGCACCCTGACAGTCTGAGAACAGAGGGCAACTTTGGACTCTTGTTGGTAGACTTGAAGCACCATGCTGAAGCTCTGCATGTTTTGCAAGAGGTGCTCGCTGCCAAACAGGAGGTCCTGGGACCTACTCACCCCTCCACTCTGGCAACTCAGCTAGGACTTGCAACATCACTGACGGAGCTGGATCGCCAGACTGAGGCCGCGGATGTTTTGAAAGAGGTGCTGGCTGCTCAGCAGCAGGTTCTGGGCTGCTCTCACCCTGCCACTTTGGATACCCAGAACAGCCTTGCTGAGTTGCTCAGCGGTCTTTGTCGAGTTGAAGCCGAAGCTCTGAGAGCTCAAGTTGAAGGTACGTTTGATTCTCATGATCCTGCATGACCCTCAATATGCTAGATACCATCATCTCCAACGTTTGGGGTACTCAGGGTCATGCAGGATTTCTCACATGAACTGGAGTACGTGCTGGCAAGGTTGCTAGTGTCAGATTGATTGCTCCGATGAGTCGCCAGTGCTGTCAGCTGTGTGCTTTCTGGTTTTACGCATCACAGTGCTGAAGGATGTAGACGCTCGAAGAGTGCTGAATTTATGTGCTTGGTGTGCAACACCTCAAACTCGGTTGGCTTTGTCCAGACGGATTTATGTCTCAGTCCTGTTATGTTGTTACTGAGAGGCTTGGATCAATCACCCCTATAACAAGTATTTGATACCCATACATATCAATACAGGGTTACAGGCCTTTCTTCATCATCCCTACATCTGGAATCCTGAGCCCTCCACTGTCAACCCTAAACCTTGCATTCATGGGTGGCATCCTGCTGAGATGTTTGGAACTCTGGAGGTGCGGCTTCAATGAAACCAAGAGTCTAAGAGTCCTTGTGATGAAACGAAGCCCCTCAGAGACCTTAAACCATAGGTGCTACACTCAGGATTCTGATGCTTCCGACTGAGTAGTCTAAGGGCTAATGCCGGGGCCGCGATACCAATGAAGGAGAACTGTCAGGGGATACTACTCCTAAAGGTTCAGGCCTCAACGCGACAGTGCGTTCTTCAAAAGGCAACTTGGCATGATACTCCCAAGTGCAGTCCCTGTCCTCCGGAAGCTTACAGCCTGAACCCAAAGGCCAAAACCCGCAAGTTTGCCGTGATTGTAATGCATCTCGGTGTGCCCCTCTTTACCCCTAGGACGGCCAGGTCTTGCGCCTTGCGACTATAAGCCCTCTACAGGAATGTGCTTGGGGCTGACAGCTGGGTTCCCAAGATCGTTGATGTGTTGGGCCATTTCTACACATTCCGGACTATATACTACTGGGGCATATACAGAGGACCTATTACCCAGGTGGATTACGGATGCGAGTTTCAAAGCGCCAGGTGTCTTGTAATTATGGAGAGATATTTGCCCAAGCCCAAAAACCCCTCAAGCATAAGCCCTGAACTCAGGATCCTAAATCTTGAGCAGTTTTTAAGCAAGCAAGCCCGTCTGTAGTCCAGGGGTTCCGCAGCCATAACCTCTCAGCCATGGGCAGGATTCAACTCATGCTCCACTCGTCATTTCATCACGGTCACCTTCCACAAGAAGTTTCACAGGATCGATACGCTTTTTGGAAGCCTATAGATATCCTTCTAGCCCTTTGTAGAGGCCCTTGATGTGGGCCTTTAGTTACCAGAACCCTGACATAGACCCTGTCTTGCCCTTCCCCCCGCAAGAAACTTTAGTCTTTTTATCAGCAGCACACGCGACACTTTGAAGCTTGAAGCTGGGCAGCCTCCGCCCTACAGGCAGTGGCAGGGTCGTGTAGGGTGAAGGGTCTGGGGCTTGGGGTTTGGATAAGTTTCCAGAGTCTGAGTTTGCGGCTGAAGGTTTGGGATTGGAGATTGGGATCAAACTCTTCTTGTGGCGGTCGCACATGTCTTGTGATGGTGCATTCAGACGTGCACCTGTGCCCTATGGTTACCAAATTTGAGGGTTGCATAGGTTAGGGACTTTCAGGAGTCTGCTTCCAAAGGAATTCGGCAAACTGATGCATCTAGCGACAAGGCCACAAGGTTTCAGGCTTAAGCCTTCGGGCTTAGAGGCTTTGGTTTAGGAGTTGACACATAATTGGCTGAGCCTGCAGGGCGGGTTTTGGGTTGTGTGCCAACCCGCCAACCCTTTTTCCCAGTTCCTGGAAGCCACAACTCGACTTCGCTTTTTTGGGTTGATAATTTCAGTGAACACACAACTTTGCAAATAACAGAATGTAGCAATGATGGTAATGATACTGAGGCATGAAGCCCTAGAAAGGCCAAGCCTTATCCCCATGCTTTCACCTCTGAATTCTTTCGACATCAAACCCCGAGCCCTAAATGTAATATCTCTTAACCTAGTCTGAGGGGATGGAGGGGGCCTTAGCGGTCCACCCAGGGCTTTAGCATTTGGGGATTCAAGGTTAGGGATTCAGGGATCTGCAGGCTTGTGAGGCCTCCTTGCGGCGTGTTGCTGCTCTGAAGGTGCACCTCTCTCAATCAACCCCAAAACCCAAACCCGATTCCCAAACCTTATACTGTTTTGGTGATGCTGGGGATACGTGGGGATTGCAGGGTTTTGGTTCATGCTTTAGGCCCTTTACCGCCCTCAGCTTTACAATCCCAAACGCCTGGCTTAGAGTTTAGGGTCCGGGGGTCCAGTCATAGGCCGTTGTTGGCTACCCAGAGTAAGGAAACCTGTGACTTGGTTCGGGCTTTCACAATCCTGATTTTATTTCAGGAACATGCTTAGCATTGAAAGGCTAGAGTCTAGTCGTCAGGGTTGCGCGGAAAAACGAGTGTCACAGCGTAGTACCCATCGTGAGCCTCCACTTCCTTCCGCCTCAAATGCAATCCGGGCTAGACTACTGTCCTTTCGTACGTTTGCATTTGCTTGAACCCTACGTTTTCTAGAGTCAAAAGAAGTCCACATCGAGGTCAAATAATTCTGTCCTGTATTCTGAAAGCAAGACTGCCCCAGAATACCTGCATTGATGAATATACGCAAAAACAATTTCTGAAAGACATATACTATCATATATACATGCACAGAGATGGTTGCAAGAGAGTAACTTGAAAGCCATGCAAGCACAAGGCCCTTGCTTGAAATTGTAGTGGAACGCAAGTCCTAGAACTTAGGCTCTTGACCCTGCAAATTTAGATGTATACATTTCTTCCTCGACCCAGGTCGTGGGCCGTCAGGAAATCCAAACTCTAGGCCCTAGATGACAAAACATTCCAAGCCGCGTGGAGGTGGCTTGGAGGGCCATGGTTGACAATGTCCGGTGGGTCGACGGTGTCCAGTACGTAGATTCTGCGCAGGTCTTGCCTGAAGCTCAGCGAAAGAGGGGACCGGCTCAGGGGCCTTTTGGGCCTTTTGGGGCTTCCTGGGTTTCGAGGTTTTATGATGTTTTATGTGGCTTTAGGGCTTCAGGGCTCTTTAGGCTCTCTCGGGTTCAGTGTGTCTTTCCATCTCACATAGGCAGCAGGTACCATCCTGGCACGAAGGGATCATCTACCTGCATCAAAAGCGGGAGCTTTGTCTTTTTAAAGGCCATGTCTTGAAAGAATTGATGATCGCAACAGTCGTGAGTAAGGATGCAGCTAGACCTACTACCTTGTTCGGTTGCGAGCAACCACAACTGTGTGCGAACCCTCTGTTTCCAAGAGTTCTTAGTTTTGCTGTTGTTCGATTGCCAAGTTTTTTGCAACACATTTTGGAACAGGGGGCATGGCCTCCTTGTCTACTGCCATGCCAGCAAAGCTGGTAGACATAGAAAGGACGCTTTCTAGACGTACCTGCATTACACGTGATTATGTTCATGCAGTGACTTGGTTCTCTGTGGGTTCTTCAAGCAGTGAACTGTAGTTATTTTCAGACCAATGCCTGTCTGCTGTGATTGCAAGTGATGTGCAACCAAACCAGAGGTTGCATTTGGAGTCTTTTTGCGAAGAAAGGTTGAGATCCAAGAGCATTCTCTGTTTTAGCCATACTGTTGCTCTGTGGAATCGGCCAAGAGCATCCGCATGCATGCAAGGCTTCAGACTTCTCATTCAAGAAAGAGATGACAACAAAATGAAGGAAACAACACAACAACAAAAATTGACCTTTTATTTAGCGTGTGTATGCTTTCACTTTAGGGTTGCATGGCTCCAGGGTTCTAGAGATGCGAAGATTCAGGGCTTCGTGTCCAAGGCGTTTAGGATGCTGGTCATGCTTTCAAGATTCTATCGTCCAGGTGGTTGGGTTTTTTCGTGTCGCAACGGCATGCGCGTGCAAACCCTCTGTTCCCAAGAGTTCTTAGTTTCGCTGTTCTCCAATTGATCAAGTTTTTGCCAACGATTTTTCAGCCACGTTTTTTGTGTCCTGCGCTGGTTGACATTGGCGAGGATATTTGGACAGAGCGCTCTCCAGACGTAATTGCACTACATGTGATGATGTTCATGCAGTGAAATGTTTTTTCTAAAAGCTCACTCACACTCAAGATTTTGGGGGGTTTATAGCCGCTCTAAAAAGGGTAAAGGCATGAAAGAATGAGACAGACACGGGGAACACCACGTTATTCAGGCTTTAAAGTCTGGGTTTCAAGTGCTTGGGATATGGATGCCGATTCTTTTGTCACACGCTCCGTAAACAGTGACAATTGTTAAGTTGTAAAACATCAACCCTCTGT